GTATTTAACACTCACTCACGGTTTCTGATGCCACTGTGATTCTGTTTGGTACTTTTTATTTGTCGCATGATATAGGTCAACGGGTAAGGTTACAACAGTTATACTTTCGGGTTGATAAACTCAGTCCACTGAAATTATGATTAGATCTTCGGTTTGTTACATTTTGAAATGTTTTAATAAATTGCGACTGGCTAACTGGGTGCGGAGTTAATCCTCATGTATTCGTTTCGGAATTGCACTAATTGTGTGAGGGCTAATCCCAACCTTAGCTGCTACCTTGATGTGGTGGTCAGGCTTGCCTATCGCGATGACCCAACCTAACTATATTGGCTGGAACATATGTTCCTGAAGGTTCTACCATGCCAGGCAGGTCGATTGGAGAACGATGAGACTAAAAACAGCTACTGCAGGTCTGAGGGCGAAGTCGTACTGCTGACTGTAATGGAGGGGTGTGACAGCAGTAAGGCGTTCCCCTCGACAACCAGCATCTGCAGCGATGCTGCCTTCTCACACGGAAGGATGCAAGGGTTAGAAAAGGTCGACCTGAAAAATGTCACACCTCACCCTACCTCACAGATTTCCATCTCCGGTGGCTAGGGTGCCTAAGAAGGGCTTTTGAGAGCGGATATACTACTAAAACAACCTTTCATAAAAAGGCCGTGCGTGACCGGCCTCAAGCAGTTGTACCTTGAACTCTGCGGTCACGTTCCCAAGTCTATAATCTACCTTCCTTTTCTGGTCCCTCAAGAAACAACCTTCCACGGTGTGTGCAGCCGGGAAGTAACAACTGCCCTCATACCCGTAACAGCACGAGAAACCAAATAGGTCATATTCGAATCCTTCCTACACCATCGTAATACCTCTCTTCTCTCCACAACTAACTCTACTCACATTCCCTTATCTCACTTCACCGATGATGCAAACAAAGCGATTTCACAAAACGTCATTCCTGGTCTCTTGAAACCGCGTTCTAGACTACATGTGAGAGCTTTTAATGTACGGACATTGTGTCAAATAGGGGAACAGGCTTCCTTACCTAGGACTTTAGAATCTTGCGCCATCGATGTATGCTGCGTCTCGGAAACGCGCATACAGGATCCTAATAAAATTATTAATCTGATTTCACCTTGTCAAAATAAAGAAGCAGCTCGATTTACTCTTCGTGTATCTGGAAGCCTTGATGCTGCTCCCAGGGGTCTTGCTTGCGAAGGTATAGCATTGAGTCGTAGAGCTGAACAATCTCTCCTATATTGGATCCCAGTAGGTAGTCGCTTGTGCGCTGTTCGATTAAACGGGACAGTAAGGACTCGGAAAGATAGGGACTATCGCCGTTGCCTCTTCGTCATATCAGCCTATGCCCCCACTGACTGCAGTTCAGAAGAGGTGAATGACGAGTTTTACAGAAAGCTTTCGGACCTCCTCCAAAAAGCTAGGCGCTCTGATGTAGTAATAATGGCTGGTGACATTAATGCTCATGTAGGTAGACTAAGTGAGCAGGAAAGACATCTTGGTGGATTTTATGGTGTCGCCGCTCAGAGAACAGACAACGGCGACCGTCTGTTGCAAGTATGCTCAGATAACCGCTTATTTCTAGCAAACACTAAGTTTGGGCATAAGGAAACGCATCTCTTGACCTGGCGACCACAAAGTCGTCTCAACTTTGGATGCAACTAGATCACATTGCCACCAGCTACCAATGGAGATGTTCTATAGAGGCCTGCCGCTCGTTCTGGGGCACATGTTTAGATTCAGATCATGCTCTAGTGCGGGTGCGTATTTGTTTAAGGCTCACTGGTCGTAGCAAAGACACCGTAAGTAAGCCTCTTAGGGTTTTACTTAATGATAGTAAAGCTAGGAATATATTTCAGGAGCAACTAGAAAGACAGCCAGGCGACCATTTACGCGATTCCCATCCGGAGGCAAGTTGGAATGATATCAAGAAGGCTGTGGAAACAGCAGTGATATCTTCTAGTAAGGTAAACCACAAGGCTAGAATGAAGCCATGGATCTCAGTAGCATCCACCGAACTGATGGATGCTCGAAAATTCATCCCGCCTGACTCTGAATGTGCTGAGGAGCGGAGTCAGCTTGGACGTAGGCTAACAAACAGCCTACGCAATGATCTAGAACAGTGGTGGGTGGAGAAAGCGAGAGAGATGGAAAAGGCAGCGGCGATAGGAAACAGTAGGCAATTATTCAGACTCATCAAGGAAACTGGAATCAGGAACCCAAATGTGAAACTACTTCTGAAAAGGATGGCTGTATCATTTATTCTCAATCCAGGAGACTGGACCTATAGGCAGAACACTTTAGGGATCAGTTCAACTGGCCTCGGGCCACTCTTCGGTTACCCACGATCTCCAGTCATTCTGAATGGCAAATCGACGTAAATCCCCCTAGTCTTTATGAAGTTGAGAAAGCCATAGGAAATCTGAAGCGAGGGCGAGCTGCAGGTCCTGATATGCTTACCCCTGAGATATTTAAGGATGGTGGTCCAGTTTTAGCAGCTAGGTTGACTGAGATCTTAGGCAGAATCTGGGAACTGGACATAATCCCATCCGAGTGGTCTCAGTCATTGATTGTCCCAATCTAGAAGAAAAGGACAAAAGTCCTTTTGCGAATCTGTCTAACTAATATAGTATCTAAGATATTGACCTCGATAATACTTCGACGCTTAACGAAAGCTCGTGAAGAGCAGACTCGAGAAAACCAGTCTGGTTTTCGACATAGACGTAGCTGTATAGACCACATCTTCACACCATGGCAGGTCCTGGAACACAGACACACATTTAGGCGTCCTACAATAGTTGTTTTCCTAGACCTTAATGCGGCATATCACTCAGTAGATCGTGAGGTTCTGTGGCAGTGTCTGTCATTGAAAGGTGTACCAAAGAAGTACATTAACCTTATACTAGCTCTCTCCTCGAACGCCACTGATCGAGTGAGAGCTTATGGCGAACTGTCATCTGAATTCTCTACATCAAGTGGTGTCCTTCAGGGATGTCCACTTTCTCCATTCTTGTTTAACTTTGTCGTAGACATCCTCTTAGAGTTAACATTAAGCTCGTCAGATTTTTCACGGGTTGACCTTCTACCAGGAAAGTCGCTTACTGATCTAGAATATGCCGAAGACATAGTTCTATTCGGTGAAGACGCTGACAAAATGCAGTCTTCTGACTACCATAAGCAACAATGCAAGCATGTTCGGTTTTCCCCCTTGAAATGCAAAATGTTGCTTCAAGACTGGGTTGCATCGGCACCTGAACTAGTGATAGGGAGTGAAGTAGTCGAACGTGTTGATCACTTCACTTATCTTGGGAGTCTCATCAGTGCTGACGGCCTGGTGACTGACGAAATCTCAGCTCAGATACAGAAGGCTCGATTGGCTTTTGCCAAGTTGCGTCACTTATGGCGTAGGCGTGATATCCGTTCGCTAACCAAAGGGCGGGTGTACTGCTCAGCAGTTCGTTCCGTTCTCTTATATGGCTGTGAAACATGGCCGTTAAGAGTAGAAGATGTTCGTAGGTTACTAGTATTCGATCATAGATGTTTAAGAAGCATTGCTCGTATACCGTGGGACAGCCGAGTAAGCAATGCTGTCGTTAGGAAACGAGTACTAGGTAAGAATGGCAGATCAATAGATGAAGTGGTGAAACTTCATCAGTTGAGGTGGTTGAGACATGTCTTGCGTATGCCTAACCACCGACTGCCTCGACGAGCTATGTTTTGTGGTATAGGAGTAGGTTGGAAGAAAGCTAGGGGCGGTCAGACCAAAACATGGAATAAATCCATGAAGTCACTGACTAGTGGACTTATCCATATCGGTAATTGTCGTCTACCTGGTTGGGGTCCGCGAGATGATAATAATCGATGGCTAGAGACCTTGAATGACATGGCTCAAAATCGTTCGCAATGTCGCCAGTGCATTTATTCTTTGTGCTCTCTCAAATCCTAATCTTCTGGATTCTTCAGCACCTCTACCTTTGTCTTTCTAACCTTATCTGACTGAATTATATGTCTTGAATAATATCTTCGAACCCTAGTCTTCTTTATTAACATTAAAACCTCTACTATCTTTATGACTATGGGATCTGATTTGACATTTGCGTCTCTGTGCTGTGGTATGGCAGCATGAACTCGTCCTTTAATCAGCAAACTCGTCCGTTTGCTGACTAAAGGACGAGTGTACTGCGCAGTGGTTCGCTCCGTCTTACTTTATGGCTGTGAAACATGGCCAATGAGAGTAGAAGATACTCGTCGGTTATTGGTTTTCGATCATAGGTGTGTTCGAAGCATTGCTCGTATATCGTGGGACACCTGAGTGAGCAACGCTGTTATTAGGGAACGGGTACTATGTAAGAATGGCAGATCAATAGATGAAGTGGTGAAACTTCATCAGTTGAGGTGGATGGGACATGTCTTGCGTATGCCTAACCACCGACTGCTTCGAAGAGCTTTGTTTTGTAGTGTAGGAGTAGGTTAGAAGAAAGTTATGGGCGGCCAAACCAAAACATGGAATAAATCCATGAAGTCACTGACAGGTGGACTTATCCATGTCGGTAGTTGTCGACTACCTGGTTGGGGTCCGCGAGATGATAATCGATGGTTAGAGACCTTGAATGACATGGCTCAAAATCGTTCGCAATGTCGCCAGTGCATTTATTCTTTGTGCTCTCTCAAATCCTAATCTTCTGGATTCTTCAACACCTCTAGTTTTGACCTTGTAAACTTTTCTCACTGAACCATACTTCGTGAATAATATCTTCTAATCCTAACCTCTCGGATTGCTTCTACCTCTACTACCATAGGATTTTAATTGACAATTACATCTTTGTGCTGATGTGTTATGGCAACATGGACTGCTGTACCTACGTACGAAGTTCCAGGTTGCATCTGACTGATTGAGGGCTAATCGTTGCAAATCACCTGTACTAAAAAATGTAAATTAGACTTGTTTTGTTCTTTTACGTGACCTAGTACTTCTTAATGACGAAGTTATTAAGCCAAGTTTTAACCGTATTTTTTTTAAAGTATAGAATATATTTTAATCAGTATTTATCAAGCCATTTTAACATGAATCTATGATGATATCATTACTTCTGTTTTTCTGCGTTTCTTCGTACTCATTAATATATTTTTTTTAATTTATTTGAACAATATTTTGCACTTGCATGTTGGATTTAGTTGTAATTGTTGTATTACTCATGAGTAGTTGAGTGTTTACTATATAATTTGTAACTTGCATTTTATTGGTCAGTATGATCGAACAATCTAGAAGTTGTTTTCTATTGGTCGAAACATTAACTGTTTGGTCAGCCATTTTGTTTGGCAGTCTATTTGCTTTGTGTGTGAGACACGGATCGTTGTGATAATTTGTTGTTGTTGTTGTTGTTGTTGTTGTTGTTGTTGTTGCTTAATCACCTTGAATGTAAGTAACTGTTCCAAATAAATATTCCGAACACTCAAAGAGCTTTTAACTTTATCGACTTCGGGTGCGTTATTCCGTTATGCCACGAAAATCCTACACTTGCATGTTTGTGCGATGCAAAAATTGGATTTGTGAGTGGGCCACGATTTTGACCGGGTGTCTAGACCGAAGCAGATGGTTTTTTCATGGGACCGTTTCCCGGACCTTTGACCTAGAGGTCCGATTCACAAGGCAGTGGCGCAACGTCAGGAGATGTCTTGTGGTAGCCGGTGACCAATAATAGGTTCATATTCCATTTGTTCCTTCAGGATAGTGAAGCCAATGTGCATCACTGGTTTGTAAATAGGGTTTTCCAACTCCTATATGTTGATCTTCGTACCCACCAACCTGGTTTAAGCTCTGGGTGGACATTCGCTCTTTATGTCTTCAGTTTCATAAACAACAACAATGCGAAGTCATTGGGTAAGACTCCCTCCCTGTCAGTGGTCATAATCACAGGGCCATGTGAGAGCATTTGGAGTGAGAGAACAGACATTCTCCACCCGACTGTACTAGGACGTTTGAGGATAGGGTCCATTCAGAGAATTTTGTTTGGATTACTGAAACGATAACAAGGAAATAAATTTAGTAGGCGAATAAAAATACTTCATAGGCAGTGAATTTCAAAATTGTGGGTTCTAATCATTTCTGCATTTCCGTTTTTTAGGTTGATAATTATAACGGCTTCATGGATCACTGTGAATCAAAGGGAGTTATAGATTTATGTGAATTCCCTTTCTTTCATTCATTTCTTGATCAAGAGGAATCAGCTGATTTTGTTTCCGAATCGGAATCCCAAATAAGTTTCGATATGTTTGGAACATGTTCTCTAAAAAACGTTAGGCATATTGTTCGTCGGAATCGACGTCTCAAACCATTAAGAGTTCATTTGTTGAAATCCGTATTAAATTTATGCAGAGCTGCAAACTTAGAACCATTTGTATATGGTGGCACAGCTTTATCAGTATTTCGTGAAGATGGAAAATTCATACCACATGATACAGATATTGACTTGGGTATCTTGGAATTTGATTCTGAAGGAAACAGTTCATACATCACGCTGATGCTTCACTGTCTTAAAAGTGGTATAAATGTTTTTGGAGTTGAAAATATAGATGATTCTTTAGTATTTGGTGTCAATTCTGATTTATTTGTTGATTTTTCGGCCAGCATCAGTAAACGTGTTTGGCTTAAAGCGCAACAGTTTAATGTACCTGAAACAATTAAAGAACTACCATACGATGGATGTGACTGCAAACGCATCAAATTCTTTTTCAGCACTAAGGGCCTACTTAAAGCCTGTGAATTATGTCATGTGAACTTAAAAATTGCAGATCAAATACTATCAGATCCATCATTAGTACACGTCGATTTGTTCACTTTATCGACCTATCCAAACTCATCGGATGAGTTTAAGTATTTGCGTGTAAATTGGAATTTGCCGGGTATATATGACTGTAAAAAAAAGTTATTCCCATATAACTCCTTCTTTCCATTGAGACCATGTACATTTGAAGGTGTAAACTTGTTAGCTCCGCACGACCTAAAAACTTATTTAACTATCGAATACGGTTACTTGGGACGAGATGCTGTATATAATTGTAAAAAGCAGTTGTATGTAAAATTTCCTTCAAAATATTCTGGTCGATTACCATCATACTTTACATGATTTATGATTTTTGGCTAAATATTTGAATCACGCTCTGTTGTGTAAAGCCATTTTCTGTTGTAATAAACATTTCGATGTTCTGTAACTGCAGAACCTCAATATTTTCTTTTCTTCGCAACATTTCATTATATGTACCAATTTTAGTGTATGGATTATTTTTTCTAATTAAAAAGATACTGTTATAAACACAAAGGCTTATTTTATGTAAGTTTAAAAAAATATTGAAAATAATGTTTACTGTTTTCTAAATCCCTATATTTTTATAAGTTCGTCTTTGGTTAGTGTAAGTAGTTCTTTTCGGAGTTGATTAGATGTCAAAATACTTTTCTATTCAGAGAAAATAATTTATTTATTATTTTGCTTGCCATATCCTATAGTCTTCTAACTTTTTAAGAAACAAAAAAGGCTTAGGTTTCAAGTCATGAGTTTTTTACAACGTGTTATTAATCTTCCCCATAACAGAATGCTAATTTAGATAGATTTAACCTTCTACAAGGAGACTCGCTTGTTAACTTAGAATATGTCGATAACATAGTTCTGTTTGGTGAAGAAGCTGGCAAAATACATGCTTCTGATCGCCATAAGCAACAGTGCAAGCAATTTTGGGATGCGGTTCTCTCCGTCGAAATAGAAAATATTGCTTGAAGATTGGGTTGCATCCGCACCTGAACTAATGATTGGGAATGAAGTAGTTGAGCGTGTTTACCGCTCAGCACGGATACAAAGGGCTCGACTGGCTTGTACCAACTTGCCTCACTTATGGCGTAAGAAAGATATGCGCCTCCTGACCAGAGGACGAGTATACTGCGCCGCATTTCGCTCCGTCCTACTATATGGATATGAAATATGGCCAGTAAAGATTTATGATGTTCATAGATTACTGTATTCGATCATAGGTGTCTTCGAAGCATTACTCGAATATCCTGGGATAACCGAACAAGCAATGCAGTTTTTGAGAAAATGGTACTAGGTAAGGATGGCAGACCATTAGATGGAGTATTTCAACTTCTTCAGTCGGAGTGCTCTGGACATGTGTTGCAAATGTCCAGCCACTGACTACCTCGACGAGCTGGTTTGTGGTGTAGGGGTACGCTGGAAGAAGGCTAGGGGCAGCCAAACCAAGAAATGGCACAAATCGATGAAGTCACTGATATCTAGACTGAGCCATGTTGGTAGATGTAGACCACTTGGTTAGAGTCCGCGACAAGATAGCAATCGATGTTTGGAAACCTTGAATGACATGACTCAAATCGTTTACAGTGGCTCAGATGTCTCCATTCCTTGTCCTCTCTCAAATTCTAATCTGAATTCCTCATCACCTTTAACTTTCTCTTTTCAAGTTTATTTCACTGGACTATACTTCTTGAATAATATCTTCGAAACCTGATATCCTTCACTACCGTTAATACTTTTACTAGCTCTACTACTATGGCATATGAACTGATAATTCCATCTCTCTATGTTAATGAGGCATGGCAAATTGAACTGATGTACGCACGTAAGAAGTTCTACGTTGTTAATGACTGACTGACTAACTGAACTTCAATTGGTTTAGGTGGTAAGCGGCTGTCAGTGGAGATTCCTAAAATACAGTCTCAAGATAAAGTGAGTTTTTTAGCTTTCAGTAGTCATGTCTTACTATATTTCGAAGATATCAAGATATGGAAAGCCATTAGGAAACGAAGGATATAGGGCAGAGTTTCAAAACCGTTATCCAAAAGTAGTAGGAATGTGTGCTTATAGAATCAGGAAGTTTGGGTTTCTATATCACTATTATTGTTGCATGGAGACAACTTTGAAGTTTTTAATTGCCAACTTCTTCACATCCATCTATCAAAAGAAATACTCATCAGCTGCTAGTTTTTTACTACATTATGTCTTTGAAATCTGATGTTTTAATGTAGAGGACTGCGTTTTATGCTTGGTAAGAATTCTGTTAGCTGCGTGACTGAAAGTGTTTTGATATTTGAAACATGTTAACAAATAAATCTGAGTAACGTGTATTTTTATTTATTTTAAAATCTTTCACGCATTTAGTTCTCAATTCAGTAACGTTGCATCTAATAACCAAGCCCGTTTTAAACCTATGTCCTACGTTTTAGGTTTAAAATGAAGAAAATACTCAGTTCATTACGTTTGACACTCCTTCGCGATTTGTTAAGAGACAGAAAGTTACAGGGATATATAGTACCAACAGAAGATGAACATTTTAATGAGTATGTGGGAACTGCAGATCGACGTTGTGCATTCATTTCTGGATTCACAGGTTCTTCCTGCTCTATTGTTATCACTTTAGATCAAGCTGCTTTATGGACGGACGGTCGATATCAGTTACAGGTGGTTTTCTGTTGGAAGGAAATTATTGTAACCACAATTCTGAAATATTACTATTCCATAAATATTTTTGTAGTTATTTAGTAATCAGCCATAAGTAAGATGAGGATTTACTGGAAACTCAAAGTTTGGTGTAATTTGCCTGAAACTTGATAATCATTGATGACTTTCTCAGATTTCTGACAGGTTCCTAATTCTTACACGAAAAATTGAGAGTTGGAAACTTTTATCTATTGTTTATTATCATCCTATTGTTTCCATCAGGTACTTTTCGTCATTTTCAGCACTTTGGAGGCTTGATTTATTTATATATATATCCTCATTGTTACCGGAACTTGTAGCAAATAATAAATTAACTGGAAACAGTTTGTTTCCAGATATTGGGTTGTTTACGCTTCTCAATATTATCGTTTATATTTAGTTTGCCAATACATATACTGTTTTACAGCTCAAATCTCTTAACGAACAGCGCTTATTTAAATGGTTGTTTCTCCTCCGACGCTTGATAATTTTAGGACTGTTTACCAACTTGTAGTTCTTTCGAAAAATGTTTCACTAACCATGCAGACATTTATGAGGACCATTTTGTATGCCATCAGATTATTGGTATATATGTCGAATTATATTTTAGGTAACAATTACAGCTAATAGATTTTTTCAGACCAGTAGTCAATACTTCTCAATATTTAATTTACAAATAGTATGGTTTCTCAAGACGAAACTTTATTTTGTCTCCAAAGTTCTTTCCTTATCTTTTCTCTATATTATTGTACATAAGGTTTCAAAGCTTAGTTACTTGTCATTGTTTCCCAGTTATCTTGATTAATTAACTGAACGGGTTACTTTTATTATCTGAAATTGTATATTCGACACTTCAGCACGTCAAAATGGCAATCAACGTTAGTCAACCTGTCCGTCAGAAACAAACTAGAATGTGGCATATATGTATCTACCTTACTAATTCCGTTCATAGTGATGAAGTTATCAAAACGCATCCTAAAGTGGTGATCGTATCAGTGTCAGCAGAAGGAATAAGGATGGACAGTCAAGAAAAAATAATCCTTATAATTAAGTGGAAAAATTGTTTTGATGTAGGGTTCGATAAAGAGTGTTTTGAGCTATCGTGATCGACTATCAACCATACCACCTAACATCAATGGTCGGTCACGACAACCAAGTAGTTTGCATCTACCAATGCGGCTCACATCAACATTCGGTAACCTAACAAACTGATGTCCTGGTTTGACCGCTTGAAGCTTTTCTTCAATTCATCATTAAACCAACTAAGGTCTCGTAACAGCAGGTTGTGATTGAGTTCAGATGACGCATGTCCCGAAAATCTTAATAGATAAAATTAAATTATGTCATCAACCGATTTACCATCACCTTGTTAACTGCGGTCAACCCCCAATACTCATTAGCTGTTCCGGACACATGAGTGATAACTCGCCAACACCTATGACCGAACACTAGTAATCTATAAATGTTCTTCGCCCTGAGAACCCTCGATACACAGCCATAAAGTAAAACAGTGAACTAGTGACAAGTATGTTTGCCGTTTTGCTTAGTAGAAACGGTCATCCTATAAAAGCCACAGGTAACGAAAGTTGACAAAAGTTAAGTGGGTTTTTTTTATGTTATTGCTGAGACTTCATCAAGCATTAACTCAGTAAAGCCTATGAAGCTTTCTAGATAAATAAGGTAGCGTTACATACTTCGCTTAAACTAAACATACTACTACAAACTTAAAGTTACATAATTGGAGTGCTCATATATTAACCCTTTTTTTCTGGATAATATGTACAGAATATATTTCTTCCATGGATATTTAGTCAATGATCAACTTGATAGTATACATATCTTTACAAATGATGTAATTGACGCATATAATAAACTATTTTTCAGCATAAAATAATGATTTAACATCAGTTCTCTTTATTTAGCCTTAAAACAAATTCATAAATAGTTAATTTTTAGTTCAAGATTTGATTTCCTTATTTTTACTATCAGTGTAACATCATATTATAAGTAGAGGAGCAGGCATATAAATCTGCGTGCTCAATCGAAAAGAGCTATATTTGAACTTACTAAATTAATGCTTATGTTCTGATAGAGTAAATCATCGAAGTATAAATATCCAATACATAAGACATTATTATTGATAAGAGAATATTATTTGATGAATCTTAACTACTTTTTCGTTTCTATAGGCTTCCAATGAACTAGACGAAAATTGGTCTTTATTTAGATATGACTCAACTGAGACAACTACAAAAACTAAATGGATTGTTTCATCAACCTTACCTGGTTCTTGTATTGGATATGACGGTAGACAAATACCTTATACAAGGATTGAAAAGTTAAAAAATGAATTGGCTAGTGTTGAAGCTGAATTAGGTATTCTACAAAGTTGTAACGGGATTCCAAATCCCCTTAGTCGACAGTTAGTTGATATACCAAATACAAATTTAATTGATCTAGTTTGGGAGTCTATGTCTGAATTACAAATTGAGAATGTTTCTCGCCCTATTCGTTCATCGAATCCGTTGTTATATGTCCCAATCTCGTTTTCTGGTTCAGGTTGGCAGGAAAAAATCGATCGTGTTAGAAATATGATGAAAGTAAAAGGTGCTAAATTGTTGGTTTTATCTGCATTGGATGAAATTGCATGGTTATTTAATTTACGTGGAAATGATATACAATACAATCCAGTGTTTTATGCATATGCTATTGTGAGTTTAAATAGCATAGATTTATTCTTGAATCCAAAAACTGTTTGTCGGACACCTGGGCTTAAAGACTACTTGAAAGATGAACAATATACAGTAAGTTATTATTATTATTTTAGTCTTATTATCAAGTGATAACCATCTTTAAAGTTTGAGAAATGCTTTCATCTGAAGATCCTTGTTATGAACTAGTATCAAGTTGGTCATCAGTTTTATATTGCGACCCACTTATCAAATACATATACATGTACTTAGTTTTCAGTTACACTTGAGGCTTATTTTAACCGGCTGGTCAGACCGATGTAGGTGAAGCAGAGATCGAACCTGTAATGTATTGCTCGAGATTTCTCTTTCTTAAATAGCTTTCAAATTCGAAATCGGAAAAGCCTATTTTGAAACTGAACTGATTGTTTGGACTGTAAGCTTTATGTAGTCTACAGTATATTACACCATATCACACTACTAGCCAATGAAAAATTATTTTAAATTATAATTTACGATAATATTGAGATGTTTACCAACAGTTTTAATAGTTGACTAACGGCGCAATGCTTTGATTCGCAATAAAACCAATATTGATCTTTAATTGTTCATTTTAGTATGGTGGAACTGGACATCATAAATGTATACGTGACACAAATATGGTGATATTATTAAGAAATGATGAAGGTAATGGGCTTATTATTAGAAAATACATGAACACAGGAATACTGTCACTGGAGATATATTTTAAAATACAACTAATTAGGTTAAAGAAAACTCTAAGATGATCATCTCAAGCTATTAAGTTGCATCATTTCTAGTATCCTATTCAGGTCATCATGACAAAACGACACACTCCAGTCCTTAGTTTATAACGGTTTTTGTACTTGCATTACCAACGTCATGTAGACTTACTCATCTGACTACAAGTGTTTCATAAAATTTTGAAATAAATGAACTGAACAATTCCAGTTGATGCTTTATTTCAAGTTTAATTATTTACAGAATGTTGATGTTAATAAAAAATTACTTATAGACTTAAACTTTGCAAAAGTCCTAAGCTAGGTGATAAGTTTAAAAGTATCTAACTCAATAACCGCATGTTCATGTATTATTACTATCTAAATGATCAAACGTACGCAGAAAAAATCGGTTTCGTTTTCCTCACCTCCTAGTCAAACATTGTATCTTAGAATGGCCAATTAGCTACAGTCAAATAAACCGATCGTTTGGATAGTGAACCGACAAACTTTTTAGAAAAAATCCAAAGATACGTAAACAATACAACACAAACTGCTAAAATTTTTCCAAATGATACCACTTTAGTTGTTAGTTTTTATCAATTTTACTGTATCACTCATTACTTTGCAGAAAAGTTTCATTCTATCGAAGTGAAATAAGCTTCGATAACTGTCGATATAATATATATATATGTGTATATATATATATATATATATATATATATACATTTATCTATATCACTAGGTGAACATTCATTCATATTATGAATTTTTCAATTATTTGGAAATGACTGTTCATAATTCATTGGAAAAACAATTACCACTACAACCGTTACGTGTATGGCTGGATTTATTTGCTAGTTATGCAATTGTATCGAAAATTCCAGAAAATCAACGTCTATTCCATATTTCACCTATCGCTGAAATGAAATCACTCAAATCTTTATCAGAATTGAATGGAATTCGTGAAATTCACGTCACTGATTCATTAGTATTATGTGATTTTTTGGCTTGGTTAGAAGATGAGGCTAATCAAATCAACAGCAGTTGTTATAATCAGTCACATGACCATAAACCAATAAAACCGAATATAGAAAATGGTGCAGGTCTACCGGTTATAACACCACCAACTGTTTTAACTGAAGCGTCAACTGCTCAATATTTAGATGCATTAAGGTCACAAGCTAAAAATTTTTTTAGCTTAAGCTTCAGTACAATATCTTGCGCTGGTAAGTTACAGTATATATATATATATATATATATATATATATATATATATATATGGTTTGCCTGAAGATTGATCGCTTGATATGTGAACGAACTTTGTTTTGTATTAGGTTCTTACAGTTATTACATATTCTATATCATTGTCTTACTTCTCCCCATTCCCTCGTTTATGGATTTATCTTAGATGCAAATGGAGCTATTATACACTATCATCCTGTTGAAGGTCAAGATGCACCTATTACTAATACAAGTATATATCTTGTCGATTCCGGTGGTCAATATCTAACGGGTACAACAGATGTTACACGTACAATTCATTTAAGTGAACCGACATTAGAACAGAAGAACTGTTATACAGCTGTTTTAAAAGCTCATATTGCACTTGCTATGCAAGTAAGTAGAAGTATTGTTTGAATATTTTTCCCTAGAATTAAAAATTAAAGCATATTTCTTAGAGTTTTCAAGTTAATCCCTTGTAATTTTCTAAGGTGTGTTTGTAATTGAAGTACTCATCATTAGTTAATGAAATTTTAAAAATGGTATTTTTTTATTCGTTTAATAATATTTACTCAGTTCTCATACGACAACTGACTCAAATTCATTAGACTGAATTTGATTTTCCAGAAAAATTCGTATAATCAGTCATTTTATTCTACTTCAGACTCAACTGACTAGTTAATTGAGATTAGTCAAGGATTGATTGGATCAGGATTGTATAAAATAAAACTTCGAAAATAATTTATCTTGATTGTTACTATTATTATTATTATCAACATTAGTAAATATCATACACATTGTGAGTTTTTCCTGATAACAGAGGCTCAGGAAGAATTAAATTATATTCGAGTTTATTTGATTATATATCGATTATTAATAACAGGATTTTATCAAACTCAACAGTTTTCACTTAACACAGAATCACAGGGAGAAGAAATGCATTAAAAGTTAAGCAACTTACAGGATACGATCCAACACCTAATAGTCAGTGAGCGAAACTGTTCGGAAACAAAAGTACAATAGAAGTTAACTGAATAAAAATCACTTTAAATTAATTTTTTTCTCATACAATGCATTTGAAGATTTAGCATTCCAAACACTTTATGCCTTCTATATATATATATATATATATATATATATATATATATATCTGTTTATTTCAAATTGTGACAAGTTAATTTGATATTCTAATTGATCGAAAATATTATAGATCACAGAGATTTACATCTTTTTACTGAATTGATAGCACTATATACTTACAGAAATTTAATATTTATGATGATAATTGATTAGTGTTCAGTAGTTGTATCTACACTATTATTGAAAGCATAGTCGACTAACGAACCTCAGTAATGTTCTAAATGATCTAGAGAAAGTGAAATCAATTAGATGTTGGTGATGTAAACGAATATGTTACTCTATTGAAACCAAAAATACGTTAAGGTTAAGATTAGGAATTTGAAATTGGCTTTAGAGTATGGATTAGAAGTTAGCAGTTAGTGGCTAGAAATAGGAATAAAGTTGAAGAACGCTTCTTAGCTATATAGATGAACACTTAGACAATTCTTTAGTTTTATATATCGAAACCTTTTTTTAAGTATATTTAAAAATTCATAAATTACGTTAAAATTTTGCCTGTGTCAATTTAGGAACTATTTAACCTCGTCCTTATCTTTTTTGTCTTTCTATGTTCATCAAATTTTAAGTATCCTAGTTACTAAATATTGTTAGGTTTTATTGATTTCTCGCTTCACTCTTACTAAGATACAGGCTCTCTATCATTGTGTTTTGGATTTCGTGTAGGAATCACTATGATGAATCTGATTAACTCATTAGTCAAGTATACTTTCCCCATAATTTTTTTCCATCGAGATGTTAATAGATACACTGTTGATTCATCCAATAAAAAAGCTTACATTTTAACAAAACTTGACCATTTTGGTGTTAAGAAACAGCAGTGGAATAGGGAAAAACCCGACAATAAAGTTATATGATCTCACGAATAATAATTTTCACTTAAACGTTATGTTTAGCCGTCGTTGTGTCGCTCAAACATTTCCTATTTATATATCATTTTGATTTTGACCAATTTGATCTCGTGTGCTGTTACGGGTATGAGGGCGGTTGTCACTTCCCGGCTGCTTACACCGTGGAAGGGTTTTTCTTGAGGAACCTGAAAAGGAAGGTAGATTAGCGTTGGTCTTAACGACCTGGGAGCGTGACCGCAGAGCCCAAGGGACAACTGCTTTGAGGCCGGTCACGCACGGCCTTTTATGAAGGGTTTTTGAGTATTAGCTCCGCGATTAAAAGCTCTTAGCGGACATCCTTACCACCGAAGACGGAAATCCGTGAGGTAAGATAACGTGTGACATTTTTAGGGTCGACCTTTTCTAACCCTTGCATCCTTGTGAGAAGGCAGCATCGCTGCAGTTGCTGGTTGTCCGAGAGAACCACCTTACTGCTGTCACACCCCTCCATCACAGTCATCAGTACGACTTCGCCCTCAGACCTGCAGTAGCTGTTTTTAGTCTCATCGTTCTCCAATCGACCTGCCTGGCATGGTAGAACCTTCAGGAACATATGTTCCAGCCAATATAGTTCGGTTGGGTCATCGCGATAGGCGAGCGCAACCACCACATCAAGGTAGCAGCTACGGTTGGGATTTATATATTTATATTTATATCTATTTATTTATATTTATATATCGTTGCACATAGATTTTTCCATCAAATACCCCGGGTTCACGACTTGATATTATATCTCGTCGAGTAATGTGGCAATTTCGCGGTAATTATGCTCATGGAACAGGACATGGTGTTGGTGCGTTTCTTAATGTACATGAAGGTCCTGTTGGATTGTCCGGTAGTCGACTTAATATGTATTCTTGTATGGGTATGGTAGAACCAGGCTTACAAGAGAATATGGTAATAAAACAATATGTTTTCTTCAAAAATTTTCATTTTTTTTGATGTTTTTGTTTTTCGTAATGTAGTATCGATATTCTACTAATTTTTGTTTTGTTTAATAGATTATTACAGCGATTCAATTTACAGATAGTTTTAAAAAAAAACGTTAGAATAACGTAATAACAGGGAGATATTGTCCTTGAAAAGTATTCTTAATTGAACCACTTGATCTGTACATATTTTATGTAGTTTAAAAAGTCAGATAACCCTGTACTTAGATTCCATCTAGTAGTAGTGTATCAGACTATAAAGATGACGTGCGTTTGAAGCCCACAATGAGCACCAGTTGCCTCAAGATTAGAATTACTCGTCGTTGTATGGATCTTGGATCAAACAATCACCTTTTGGAATACTTTTGACTACCTAATAACTTAATATGATGTATGCGATGTTGTTAAGTCATTTAGACAAGAAATAGTCAAATAGCATTCGGACCATAGAAATTTTTTTACCGGACTTATCATTTATTCTCTTCGAAATTGCTTTCCTAAATTTCCGATAAGCAGCTACAACCCATTGAATCAATTAACTTTTCTGTTTGGTAGTAATTCATCCGCGCTGTTGAGTATGTGAAGTATAAAACTTTGATTCAGTAATTTAGATGTGTCACTTTCGTCTCTACAGCTTAACGAATTCAGTTATCTATGAAAATTCATTTTATACTAATATTTAGGTGTCGTTAAATCAAACAGGTATTAAGATTATTTAAACGCATAATTTTTGGTATGAAGAGGCATACAAATACTTATGCGATGCAAAAATTGAATTTGTGAGTGGTCCACGATTTTGACCGGGTGTCTAGATCGAAGCAGATGGTTTTCTCAGGGGACCGTTTCCTGGACCTTTGACCTAGAGGTCCGATTCACAAGGCAGTGACGCAACGTCAGGAGATGTCTTGTGGTAGCCGATTGTTATAATGCTGCTACGTATGTCTATTCAGTCCTAGCGGCGTCCAAATTCAAATATCCCAGTACTACCCAAATACTATCCTATATATCAGAACGCAACACCGTTGGATGGAGTTGTTTATTGGATCGAGTACAGAAGAGAGGTAGGCAGGAAGAAACGGAATCGGAATCATGAAAGTCTTACAGATAGTGCGTATTTATACATTCAGGTCGAATAGGAAAGAGCATCAAGGCCTGTGACATTGACAGTTTAGGACGATCAATACGAAAGAACATTTGAAATGACATTGACAGTCCGGATGACTAATAAGAGATAACATTAAAGTATTTGACTTAGACAGTTAAAACGACCATAATTTTGACCAATGGAAATTGATCAATAGGATTTTACTTCCAAAAATAGTACTCTTAGGATATTTGGTGAATATCCTAACACCGGTGACCAATAATAGGTTCATATTCCATTTGTTCCTTCAGGATAGTGAAGCCAATGTGCATCACTGGTTTGTAAATAGGGTTTTCCAACTCCTATATGTTGATCTTCGTACCCACCAACCTGGTTTAAGCTCTGGGTGGACATTCGCTCTTTATGTCTTCAGTTTCATAAACAACAACAATGCGAAGTCATTGGGTAAGACTCCCTCCCTGTCAGTGGTCATAATCACAGGGCCATGTGAGAGCATTTGGAGTGAGAGAACAGACTTTCTCTGCTCTTGGTATTTAAGGGCTAAATATACAAAACAGCTCCGCAAATCTTTCAGTTTAGTTATTTCAACTAGTTGTTGCCTTATTTCACTTGTTTTAAAATGCTATGATTGTCCCAAAACCAATCCTACGACGACGGTATTTATTTCTACCTGCAATCGGCAATATGAAATCAATCCTTCGCGATAACAAACTAGGCTTTGCTTATTGATTTTTCATTGCTCATTAGTCATTATGTTTATTTACGGATTCAGTTTTCATATTGGAAGTTTAAAGTAGATCAGTGAAAATTTTTTTATCTGAGCTGCTTGTTAGTTGATACTTCTCAGCTTTTAAAATCGAATTCATATCCAAATACAATCATATTATGCAGTCAGATTTTTCGGAACTAATTTAGGTGACATAAAATGTTTGCTTATGCTTTGGTTCAATTATATTTTCGTCTTTAGTATTCAATATTCATTCGTTATGGAAAAAATCCTTGAAATTCCCTTAAAACACAATGATTTTTGAAATCGGCTGTAAGATAGTAGAATGGTATTAGATGAAGCTTAGTAATTTACAAGTTGATTCTCAAACTTTTCAGTTCCTATACTTGGATTTTTAAAAATTCGTGTCTTTTCTAATTTAATACTGATATTTATTTAATTAGTATGCGTGTATCTGATAAAAATCACTGTTTAACCTTCTAGGGATCCTCAGTTAATTCACTTCAAACTATAAATTATCGCATTTGATGTGTCTTGTATGAAATGAATACGTACTTCTTCCTTTTCTTCTCAAATACAGGTTGTTACTATTGAACCTGGTTTCTATTGGAGTGATCACTTCGGTATACGATTAGAAAATGTAGTATTCGTTGTGCCTGCGGAGACAACAGAATTTCCCAGTAGTAGTAGCATTCATACAGCTACAATTTCCACTGATCATCAATTTTTTCAATTTCCACCAGAAACGAACGATATCAAATGGCTCAGTTTTGAACCAGTCACTTTAGTTCCATTTCAACGTAAATTTATTAACTGTACTATGCTAACTATAGATGAATTAAATTGGTTAGATAATTATCACCGAACAATTCGTCAAGCTTTATGCAAACGTATTTATCAAGAAGTGAATATTCAATTGTCGACTAATGACAAGAAAACAATATTATCAAATATGTCAATGTTATCGTCTAGTCGTAAACGTTGTTTACAATGGATATTAAACCAAACAGAATCATTTGTACAGTCTTTTTCATAGTTTTTAATTGTATGGTTTAAACCCTCGGAATTTTTAATTTTGTCATTGGTGAAATTTCTACTTTAAATATTATGAAATTTTACGATATATGATTCGACCTGATATTGTAAATATAAAACAATATGATCAGTGTTATTTACATTGTCTCTGATATATTATTGTGTTTTTGTTTTCATCAATATCAATTGTGTTGCATTTGCTTAATGTGTTTCATAATTAAATTCAATCTTTAATGTAAACAGTGAAATATTTGTGTTTCATGTTTTATCAATAAATTTGAAAATGTGATGTGTTTGAGTAAAAGATTTATTATTATTAATGAAAACAATTGTATTGGTGAACAATGATTCAAGTAAATTGCTAAAATCTCCAACTCTTGTTTCTATGTAGAAACTGTTTCTGAATCTTTACAATCAAAATGTAATTTAACATGAGAATTTCTAAATTTGTATCAGAATATTTTTTTATTAAACTCATGAATCGACCAATGTAGACTACTATTGGAAACACAAGACTGCCTATTTTGGTCGTAGTACAAGACTCTCACCAGCAGTGCAATATCTATGACATGTGAAAGCGGGAATTCAATCCAGAACTTTTTGTTTCGGACGCAAACGATTAACGTCTAGACCGTTAAGCCGACATCCAATAGTGTTGATGTCTAACCTAAAAATAACCTTATTAAATTAGATACTGCAGCACCTCATCCGTAGTCTTCGGTGGGTAACTGCCTTACACTCGTCACGGTTGAACTCAAATGGTCACGTCTTCTCATAAGCACTCCGAGAGTTCCCTTACGAGGTTACTTACTAGTGAATAAATGATAATTGCAATTATAGTGTTGTGGAGATTTTTGATTTTCATAGAAATCATGGACCAATCAATGTTAGACCACCATTAGAAACCTGGAAGCACTAGATGGCTGTTTTGTCCTAGCATATGACTCACAAACAGCACTATACAAATTTCTCTTCCTAGTTCGGGGCTCCTCGTGAGTGCGCAACTACGACTATGACATGTCATCTTGTGGTTAACACATCTAAATTAAATGAATTTGTGGAATTGTGTAACCATCATCCAATGTCATTATCGAGTAAATAATTTACGCTCGTTATGTTTAAACTACGTTAGTCACTGATTCTTACCTGAACTTTGGAAATTGTTCACTGTTTGTTGATATCTTTGGTCACGAACCAATCTATGCTAGACAAGAGGAAAAACTAGGAAGTGCTAAACAAAATGTTTCTAGCACATCTTTATTTCTACAGACGACTTAAATACTGTTGGTGACTTTTTTATTTAATAACGTAAGCTTTTGTTCATTCATCCCATAAATGGATTAAGTAATTCACGTATAAATCATTCAATAATTAGAAATCATCCTCAACTATCAATATATGTTACACGAGATAGATATCTAAACAAAGTAGCTTTATTTTACGAGTAATTTTACACGTTTACATACAATCTGGGAATTGTATTAGTTTCTAACTTTTCTTTTTCTACTTTATATGATTTTGTCAAATGAAATTCATGCTTGTAATTTCAAACAAAAAAAATTACATATCGGAAGGTGTCGTTAGTAAAGTTCGACTTGATAATTTCTAATAAATTGATTGTTAGTTACACTGATAATAATCTGAATATTGATATGCTTGTTTTTAATTCATATGAAATTAGATTTCTGATATTTTGCAATATCTAACATAAGTTGCTTCTTCAAAGTATTAATAGTCATCTTAAATTATTATAAAGGTAACAAAGCAGAAGATTTTTCAGTATAATCAAATTGTGGTGGGTACTACTTGTGATGTGGCTTCTAAGTGGTGTGCAGCGGAAGTTGCTACCAGAAAGAAGTGTCAAGTTGAAATACATGGCACGATCAAATTATTTTAAAACCAGAAGAGGTGTAAGAGGACATTATAATAAGCTTGGTTTGCAAATAGATATCTGAAGATTAGGTGTACATATTTTGTTAATCGACTGCGTCTTCTCCAAATTTGTTATTAATACATTTGGTCTTGAAGTTTTCGTTCATGACAGTATGACTTCTGTATATTCACTTTTTTTACAGAAGTTTAATGGACAGTTATTTCATTTAGCTATAAAGTTTCCTAAGGATGCATGACTTCTTACTACTGAATATCAATACTGTGTTTACGAGTAAAATGTTTTGTACTGCGAGAGTAATTTACAGACATCTATAGTACTACATGGATTTCGAGGAACACTACAATAAATTAGTCTTTGAGCTTTATAGATTATTCTAAACTTTACTCACTAGGTGAATGTCTATCTCATTGGTTCATTTGTCAGGAAAATTTCACGGAGAAAGAAACGTGTAAAATTGGAATCTCCCCCTGACTACTGGTTATAGTTAGTCAGTCGATGATGTGAATTTCATTTCAATCAAGGTAAATTTGTTTATGACTTATCTGTGTATGTTATATTTGTAATTCCGAAGACCAGAATTAAAAATTTTTGTGCTTGTTATTGGTTAACTTGTTTTAATATATTTGGTCATACCCTACATTTCTTAATATGGAATTTTACATTAAAACCCTGAATGATCAGTTGTTGAGAATACCTTGTGTTGCACGTTGAAGATATCTTGTGTATTCAGCCTCATCAACATACCTTTGAGAAAACAATATTATAAAACTGAATTACCTACATACATAAGTTAACAATGGAAGACCACTTAGCTATGTAAATTGTTAGCTTACAAACCTCAGAGAAAGGATGAATATTGAAGTAATTTTTACCTTTTATATTACTTTTCAAAAAATTATGAACACTGGTTTTCTTCATAAAATTGTTGATTTCATTGGCTAAAACGCAATAGATATGTTTATAAAGATTCATAGAAATGAGAAAACCTACTGTGATGTGAATTCCTCATCATAATCTATCTTTAAGATTAAAGAAAATGAGCAAACTCCTTTAATAACGGTCGAAAAATGGCCTAAATTTAATGGATCGGTAGAAGTTCTTCCTTACTGAGCGCCTATAGGGGTTTAGCAATAAATCAAATGCTTCAACTACCCGTGTTTCTTTACAATATGAAAAATCATCTTGAATTTATTAATACAGAATCGATAATTTTTACAAACAGCATGTACTTCTATGACTAATCTACTTTGTAGATCGTAAATTTCTGAGGGATTATTAGAGGGTCTTTTCATGTAACTTAGAAATACTTTCACACAAGTCTTGATTTCACGAGTAGGCAGTATGTCAGTCAGTCAGCTACAATGTAGAACTTAGTACGTAAGTACATCAATTCATGTTTCCATACCACATTAGCACAGAGATGCAATTGTCAATTCGAATCCCATAGTGGTAGAGATAGTAGAAATACTACTGTGGTGCACGCTACTTATAAGTAGTATATGACGCGAGTAAAAACGTAATGTCTGGCAGCAGAAGATGGGGGAAGATCAAGAAAGGAAGAGCGGGGACACAATGGGATTTGTATGAAACGCATGAACAGTGAAATGTCATACAATGGATTGATGTTTGCAACAGGAGCAGTCCAGTTCGTTATGATGGATTGATATTTTGCAAATCAACGATTTACGATATGGTTTTTCTATTTTACCAATTAACTCTGTAATCTGAGATAAGTACAATTCGGTTGCCCTCACTTGTGTTCTCCTTCACTACACTACTGGTAAAGGAGAAGATTAAGGTTCAAAGATATTATTAAAGAATTTATAATTCAGTGAGATACGTTTAGAAAGACAAAACAAGAGGTTTTGACTAATCCAGAAGATCAGGATTTGAGAGAACACAAAGAGTGGTTGCACCTGAGTCATTGCAAACGATTTTGAGTCACGTCATTCAAGGTCTCTATCCATCGACAACTTTCAGCTCGCCGACCCCAACCAGGTAGCCTACATCTGCCAACATTACTGAATCCAACTGTCAGTGACTTAATGGATTACTGCCAAGTTTTGGTCTGGCCGCCATCACTTTTCTTCCAAACTACTCCTACACAAAAAACTGTTGTGTTCGTCAGTAAGTACTCTTGAAGCTATTATGAGTTCACCCTAGTCGATAAACGCAAACGAGACAATTACCAGCGTCCAGATAGGCTACCTTGAATCCCAAACTGTAAACAGAAAGCTTTGTAAGCGTAGGAAATATATTCTACAAACACCCAGCAATCACAATGCAATCAAGCACACAACTCTCGTTTATTTATACATCATAGAAACGTCCTTGGGACAGTTACGAAAATAGCACACTAAAATACACAGCAGGCAATCATAGCAATGGATTTTCCTGGTGGGAAATGAAATCTCAAGGTCAACTGATCAGCCCATGTTCGCAAATGTAAGATCCAAAATGAGGCCCTTATCAAGCGAGTTCTGGTGATCCAACATCCCCAACAAAAACAGAGCTCGTCGAGGCAGTCGGTGGTGGGGCATTCGTAACGCATATCCCAACCACCTCAACTAGTCAAGATTCAATACTTCATTTATTGACCTACCACCCTTACCCAGTACTCGTTTCCTTACGACAACATTGCCCACTCCGATGTCCCAGGATTCACGAGCAATGATTCTTAGACATCGGTTTTCAAATACTAGTAACCTACGAATATCTTCTATTCTCACTCGCCATGTTTCACAACCATGTGTGAGAACTAAGCAAACTACTGCACAGTACACTCGTCTATTAGTCAGCAAACGGATATCTCGCCTACGCCATAAGTGACGCAGGTCGGCAAAAGCCAATCGAGCCTTCTGTATCCGAGCTGAGATTTCGTCAGTCACCAGGCAGTCAGCACTGATGAGACTCCCAAGATAAGTGAAGCGGTCTACACGCTCAACTACTTCACTCCCTATCACTAGTTCAGGTGCCGATGCAACCCAGTCTTGAAGCAACATTTTGCATTTCGAGGGGGAAAACCGCATCCCGAACATGCTTGCATTGTTGCTTAGGGTAGTCAGAAGACTCTGCATTTTTTCAGCGTCATCAATAGATAGGGCTAT